CCCGGCCCAGCCAGCCCATGCCCCTTCCCGGGTTGCCCTTCACTACAGCCACAGCAGCAACCACTGCAGCGGGGGCCACCCAGCCAGCCGTGCCCGCACCAGCAGCCACCGCCACCAGTGCAGGGCCCACCCTCTTCGCCTCCATCGCAGCCGCTCCCACCTCGTCCACCAGTGGGCTCACCCTCTGTGCCCCAGCAACCACCAGTGGAGCTCCTGGGACTGGGACCTTGGGCTTTAGCCTGAAAACCCCCGGAACAGCTTCTAGCACCTCAACAGTGACATCCACCACTACGGCCACAACCACCACCACTGCCGCCACTGGCTTTGCCTTGAATATAAAGCCTCTGGTGCCAGCTGCGATTTCCAGCAGTGCAGCAGCAGGTGCGACCGCCCTGTCTGGCTCCGGCGCAGCCGCCGGGACAGCCACCTCTGCGGCGATGACCTATGCACAGCTGGAGAGCCTGATCAACAAGTGGAGCCTGGAGCTGGAGGACCAGGAGCGCCACTTCCTCCAGCAGGCCACCCAGGTCAACGCCTGGGACCGCACGCTGATCGAGAACGGGGAGAAGATCACCAGCCTGCACCGTGAGGTGGAGAAGGTGAAGCTGGACCAGAAGAGGCTGGACCAGGAGCTCGACTTCATCCTGTCCCAGCAGAAGGAGCTGGAAGACCTGCTGAGCCCCCTGGAGGAGTCGGTGAAGGAGCAGAGTGGGACCATCTACCTGCAGCACGCGGACGAGGAGCGCGAGAAGACCTACAAGTTGGCGGAGAATATCGACGCACAGCTCAAGCGCATGGCGCAGGACCTCAAGGACATCATCGAGCACCTGAACACATCCGGGGGCCCTGCCGACACCAGCGACCCCCTGCAGCAGATCTGCAAGATCCTCAACGCACACATGGATTCGCTGCAGTGGATCGACCAGAACTCGGCCCTTCTGCAGAGGAAGGTGGAGGAGGTGACCCGGGTGTGCGAGGGGCGCCGAAAGGAGCAGGAGCGCAGCTACCGGATCACGTTCGACTGAGGGACTGGGCGCCGGCCTGCTGGGCCCCTGGGCTCTCGAGCCAGGCTGGCGGCATGCACTGAGGCGCTTGTTCCTCCTCTCAGATGATTGTGCTGTTGAAATTGTTCTGTGGTTTGACTTTTCCCATTAGCAAATAGAAAGTGTTCTCTGCCTTCTGGTCCAGGCAGCGACCTAGTGTGTGGTTTCTGTGTTTTGTCCGGGTAGTTTTGGCCCTTTCTCACCTACTACAGCCACCCACCCATAGCCAAACGATAGAGAAATACCGATTCGCCTAAGAAAAATCTCCCCAGCCAGGACTGGTTGGGCAGCCACTCGGCCCAACGTGGCAGGTACAGTGGAGAAGGACTGAGCAGCTGGCAGCCTGGGCATACAAGATGTGTACTCTTGAAAATTAACCACCGAGACAAGTACATGGTGACCGGGACAGTAGGCTAGAGGATTTCAGAGGAGGAGACGGTCAGCTGAGGGACCTGCGCGGGGACGGAGAAGGTCAGAAGATGCTGAGTGGTCCTCAGGGCTCGCCTCATCCCCTCCTTAGCCGTGCAGACTGCTGCGGCTGATGGCTGCCCTGGGCCTCTAGCACACCAAGCCGGTGGGGCCTGAGGCTGGCCGTGCCTTACTGCACTCACCATTCGATTGTGAGCTCTCCTGGGTGCCCAGCGCAATCCCTGTTACATTTATTCAGTGACCAAACAGTGAAAATGAAACCCAGCAGAACACCAGTCCACAGAAACGCCTGCTGAGGTGACCTCAGTTGCCAGATGACCTCCCCGTGCCAAAGTTAACTTAGCCACAGTAAGGTCCGGGTGTCCCAAAAGCTGAGCCTGGGCTTATCCCGGGGTCTTTGGTGTCTGTTTTTATACTTTGCTGCATTCTCTGAAGTACTGATGATTATGTTGCTTTCCTAAATAAAATCAGTGTGTGAAACAAAACCTGTTGATTGGATAAATGTTAGAAGAAGCTGGCAAGAAGAGCAGGTTCCCCAAGATTCGGTGGACTGCCATCCTTCTGCAAGGGCCGCAGCTAGTGGGACCCGCTCCACTGCACAGATGAGGCTGCCCTTGGGTGAGAGGGGCAGCAGCCGTTTCCTGGAGAATTCAGTAGGCCCTGGTTAGTAGCAGGTCAGCTGCCACCACCCATCCCTTGGACACAGCCATCCCCTCGGCAGCATCCCTGTCTGCCACCTGAGCTAGCTGGCGGGCACTGGTTATGTCTCAGCAGTGGGGAGCAGCTAAAGCCAGGTTGCAGGTTGTGTGGGAGGGTTCACTGGGGTCTGGCACCTGCCCCTTCCTTCAGCTGGTCCCACTAAGTTAGGCCACACATTTGGTGATTTGTAGCTGAGTTTCCCAAACTTCTTGGACCTCTTGGGCTTTGCAGGATTGCTGAAGCCATAGGAGATGGAGGGAAATAAATTAGAGGGAAGCCCCAGCAATCTCCATGGCTGTACCCCAAGAGCACCCCAACACAGTGGGCTTTTTCTACAACCCATGGGTCTTGACCCTGACCTGGATCCTCTTCCCAAAATGAGGCCTTGAGTTCCCCTGGAAAAAAAGCAGCTGGCTGATATTTGACTTGTTCATCCCTTCAAAGCACATCTGTTTTTGGAGCACCTGTTTCATACCAGACCCTGATCTGGCATTGGAATTAGGAAATGGAATGGTATTTTTCTGTGCCCACAAAGTCATTACTGGCAGGAGCCATGTGTGATAAAAGAAGTAGTGTAGTGGTACTGCTCTTGCCTCACAAGTGCAAGGTTCTGAGTTCAATCCCTGGTATGGGGGGGTACTGAGTGTGCATTTCTAATGTATATTCCTATTTGCATATTAAATGAGTAAAGCTTAATTGTTTCCTTAGTTTTGGGAGTTGGGCCAATGTCTTTAGTGTCAGGTATTTAAACCCAGGACTTCCTGCAGGGCCAGGGGTTTAGTTCAGTGGTCCTGCCACCTGCCTCACAAGTGCAAGGTCCCAAGTTTGATCCTGGTACCAAAAAAATAAAATAAACCCAGGACTTCCTGCAAGTTAAGTATACACTACCAGTGAGCTCTACTCCCAGCTCTCTTGTAGTTTAAAAATAAAAACAGTTCAATCCCCAGTACCAAAAAATAATAATAAATAAAAACAGACCTGGGTATGGGGGTGCACACCTGTAATCCCAGCACTCAAGGCTGACCAAGGGACGGGATTTAGCTCAGTGGTTCTGGCACCTGCCTCACAATTCGATCCCTGGTACCCAAAGAGGGGAAGAAAAAAAGGTTGAGTCAAACGGATCTCAGTTCAAGGTCAGCCTGGGCTACATAATGACTTCAAGGCCAGGCTGCCTCATAAATAAGAGTTGAAGTTGTAATATTTTCTCATATCCATAGGGATTTTGGACAACCTACTTTGAAGAACACATGATTAAGGTTTTGGTTACTTTTCTCTCACTGAGACAAAATATCCGACATCCAAAGTTAAAGGGAGGAAATTTATTTAGCTAACCGTTTGTAGAGCTTTTCAGTGATAATCTGCTGCCTCCCTGGCAGAGGGGCGACATTTCCTGGTGGTGGAAGACGGCAAAAGCAACAGCAGGCCTTAATAGTGTCTTTCTGCACCTTTTACCCCAACCAGCACTCACTGGTGGTTTAGTAATCACACCCTCAAACCCCAGCATCACAAGTCTAGGTTCAGCAACCTCTGGAAAAGCCTACGACTGCATGAGGCCTTGCGGGGACATCTAGACACAAACCTTAACAACTAGAATAAGTCGAGGCTCCGCACGCATGGTCTCTGGACCCATGGGAGAAAGGGCTCCAGCAGACATCTTGGGGGAGTCAGCAAGAGGTCCCCAAGATTGCAGCAGGATCAGCAGCTGGGCACTGTTCTGGCTTTATTATAACTGCAGTTTCTCTTTCCAGGAAGAGAACAGGCAGATGCGGCTCCTTGCCAGTCCAGACCCTGGGCTTCCGCTAAGTTCCTCTTCATTAATATGAAGACAAATGTGACTAAATTTGGAATCAGAGGCTTTTAAAGGTGACTCCTTGCTAAGCTCTTACTGCATTTCCTTTCCTCATTTAGGAGTGAGAATGCCAAGTAAATGTCAGGTTATAGCTTTCTTTTAATCTCAGAGAAACTCAGTGATTCCCTGGCTCTCAGCCCAGCCCCTTCCCATCCCCAGGATGAGCCCTGTCAGGCTCAGTCTGACACCAAAAGGGTCAGATTTGTTTGTTTTCTGTGGTACTTGTGTAGCTCTGAGCTACATCTTCAGCTTGCTTTTTTTTTTCAACAGGATCTTGTTCAATCTCTTAAATTTCCTAGGTTGGGCTCAAACTTGGGATTCTCCTGCCTTGGGCACCCAGAGTACTGAGACTACTGGCAGAAGCCTCTCCGGCTCCCCTCCTCCCTGGCTGATTTCTGGCTGTCCAGGGGGTTACTGGGCATGATTTGGGAAGAGACCACATTCACCTCAAGTACAGGCAAATGTACTGCATAAAGTGTAGTCAAAATAGAAAGTGAAGAGTTTTAAATATTTACTATCTACTTAGGACCTTGCACTTGCGAGGCAGATGGCAGTACCACTGAGTTAAATCCCCAGCCCATTGTAAATAGACCTTTAAGAATGAATGGTTTGCTGGGTGTGCTGGTGGCACACACCTGTAATCCCAGCACTCCGGAGGCTGAGGCAGGAGGATCGCTTTGACTTCAAGACCAACCTGGGCTACATAGTGAGTTCCGGATCAGTCTCAACTACATAGTGAGACCCTGTCTCAAGAAACAAAACAAACAAACAACAAAAAAAGAATGAATGGCTTACAAGCCGGGAATAGTGGTGCATGCCTGTAACCCCAGCACTCGGGAGGCTGAAGCAGGTGGTTCGCTGTGAGTTTGAGGCTAGCCTGTGCCTGTATCAAATGAACAACAAAAAAAAAAAACTTGAAATTTTAATTCAGATCTTAGAAACTGGTTTGAGCCTGCACCAGCACACCATTGTTCACAGGTTTTCAGTGAATCCCAGAGTTGTCAAGGTGCTTTAAAATTGTCTTCGAGCCAGGCGTGATGGTGCATGCCTGTTATCCAACACTCAGGGAGGCTGAGGCAGGAGGATGGAAGTTTGAGTCCAGCCTGGGCAATGTAGCAACTTAGTGAGATCTTGTCTCAAAAAACGGGGCATGGAGCTTCTGCTTGCCTAGCATGTGTGAGACTCTGGGTTTAATCCCCAGGACCACAAAAAAAAAAAAAGGCCACCTTCAAAGCAAAAAATAAAAAGGGCTGCGGATGTAGCTCAGTGCAGAGTTCTTAGGTTCAGTCCACAGAACAGAAATAACCAGCCCTCCTCCAACACTCAGGGAAGCAAAACTTCTCGGAGTGAGATCCGTGGGCCTGCGGCACAGCACCACTCACTGGATACCAGGCACTGCAAACTCCCTTCTCACTTCCAGACACCACCCCATTCAGCCTCCACGAAACTAAGTGTTTTTCCCCATCAGGAACCAGACAGTGGCTCAGTGGCACAGCAATTCGAAATTCACAAAAAAAGAACTACACTGTTCCCCAGCCTTGCTTGTAATCCCTGGTGCCCTAGGGGTCCCATTAGATTCCCTGGCTTTTTGTTTTGTTTTGTTTGTTTGTTTTGGGGGTTTTTTTGTTTTTCTTTTTTTGAGACAGGGTCTCACTATGTAGTTGAGACTGACGAACTCACTATGGCTGGTGAACTCAAATCATCCTCCTGCCTCAGCCTCCCAAGTGCTGGGAATACAGGCGTGCACCACCACACCCAGCTCAAGATCCCCTGGTTCTAACTAGACAGACCCCCTGCCACAGCCAAAGGTGATACTGTCACTCAAATGCAGTATGGGCTTTCATTTGATTTGTGGACGTGGGGTCTTACTACATGTTCCAGGCTGGCCTTGAACTCCCTATGTAGCCCAGGCTGGCTTTGAACTTGCAGTGATCCTCCTGCCTCAGCCTCCAGAATGCTGAGATTACAGGTGTGCGCTACCATGCCCAATTTCTCTTATTTGAATCTTAATTCAAATAAACTGAAAAACAGTCTGGAAAATGTAAACATTGATTTACAGGTACTAAGGGGTTAATGCCATTTTAAAATGTGATAGTGAGGCATGGTGGACACACCTGTAATCCCAGCAGTCTGGAAGCTGAGGCAGGAGGATCACCAGGAGTTCGAGGTCAGCCTGGGCTACATAGTGACACCCTATTTTAGACAAATCAAACAAATAAATAAGAAAATGTGATAATGATGCTGCAGTTTTATTTTCTTAGATTTTTGAGGTATTAGTCTGTGTAGCCCATCTGACCTTGAACTCACGATCTTCAGCCTCAAGCACTAGGATCACAGGCCCGCACCACCTTATAGCCCTGCTTTTTTGTGTGTTGTTGTTTTTAATGCAAATAAATCCCTTTTAGATCAGAGGTTGCCAAACTGGCCATACCTCCTGTTTTTGTGAATAAAATTTTATTAGAACACAGCCACACCCTGCTTTTATATTGTGTGTGGTTGTGTCCAGATGGAAGCCATATGGCTGTAAAGCCTCACACATATCCTGAAAAGGTGAAAAGGTTTCCTTGTCTTTGTTGTTGTTCTTGTTTTTTGGAGACAGGGTCTTGTCACGCAGTTCAGCTGACCTTGACCTCATGGAGACCAGGCTGGCCTCAAATTTGTGGTGATCCTCCTGCCTTAGCCTCCCAGTGCTGGGATCATGCCTAGCAACTCATTGCTATTTTAAACAAGTACCCAAAATATTTACCTACAAAGCAATATGATGTCTGGGGTTTACTTTCAGTTAACCCAGTGTCTGTGAGGTGGTGGTGCACTTGGGCCGACCTCTGTCTGTTCCTTTGTATGTCAGAGGCTCCCCAAACCATGCACTTTGGAGAAGGGAGGCCCAGCCCTTCCAAGCCTCCCAACTGCTCTGACCCCACACCAGGACCCGGCGTGTCTGGCCTAACAAGGACAGCAGAACAAAGCCACTGCCATTGGCCTCCGTGCTGCGAGTGCCTGATGATGACTTCTGTCCTGGGCTAACCAGAAAGGCCATGGGTGCCGAGAGAGCCCCCCAGAGCCAGCCATGCAGTGAGTGACCCCCTCTGGAGCCTGCGGTGTTCTGGAAACGAGGGGCAGGAGGGCTCTGAGGAAGGGGACCACTGTCTTGGGGTTCAGGCCAGAGACCAGGGCCACAGTTAAGTCCACCCTCCGCTGTGTGTCCCCGATCCACACCTGGGTCCCCTGACTTTTGCCCAGGCCCCAGGCCAGTCCCTGACCCTCTGTGACTTAAGGCCAGCCCTGCGGTCTTCAGACAGACTGGGAAGAGGGTACAAACATAAGGCAACTGACTTAAGGTCAGCGTTCTGGCCCGCGGGTCGCAGTTGATGACCAAGCTTGTGAGATCACCAACCAAAAGGAGGAAGTTAGGATTCTCGTTGGAAGCAGAACAGCTCCGGGATTTCCAGGCAGGGTCCTCAGGGTGCGGCCACGCGTCCCCTCCATCCAGAGCTGCTGTGGATAGGCAGAGCTCGGGACTGTTTGGCCACCTGTCACAGCGGCTCTGTGGAGCTAAATTGACCAGTTGGAACTCAGGCTCTGTAACCCAGCTAGTTAGCATATAGGCATTCAAGAAAATGGAATTTAAAGCAAAACTAGTTACTTGGAATTTTAAGTTCCTCAGAACAAAGGAACGCATTTGGGAGGAGCTGTACCCCCTGTTGCCTGAGGAAGTCAATTCTCAGCCCAGAGTCCTAGCTCACTCTTCTTATCACTGATCACCAGCTGTCTGGGGCCCTTCCCTAGCTGCCTTTCTCAGAAGCTAATGAACTAAATTTAAAAGGGCCACAGCCAGGGCTCTGGCCGCTGGGTACGTGACCTAAACCCCCCATTAGATCTGTCATTGTGGTTATGAAAGAAAACCAAACAGGGCAGGGTTTTCCCTGCTAAAGACTAGATCTGCCTACAAGGATTAAACTTGATTTCTAGAAACCAAATAAAACCAGGATTTCCCAAAACCAACTGCAGCAAACAGATGTCCT